CCGGTCCCCGTACCCGCGCCACGATTATTGATAACCGTAATTATATATTTTCTAAATATAATATAAGATATAAATAATTAAATAGTAGTAATATATTGAATATTAGTTAAAAATGGGGGATCCTAAGGTTTCCATTATATAATTAAATATTAGTATTATAATTAAATATTGATTTATATGTGGAAATAAACATTTAAATTATAAGTAAATTATTAAAAAAAATAAAAAAAATAGACGGGGATTTTTACCCGCCCCGATACCCGTGGGGATTTTATGGGGCGGGTATGGGGATTCTTTTAATACCCGTGGGGATTTTTAACGGGGATGAGGATGGGGATTTTCATTGCGGGGCGGGGATGGGGATTGCAAAACCCGCCCCATACCCGCCCCATTGTCATCCCTAACCTCGCCCATTCATCATAGTTCTCCCCTCTCAATTGAACCGGCGAGATTAACGATCCAGGATTATCGGAAGGGTGAAGGCGTAATATGGTGAAACAGCCGTCTGTCCCTTGCCGGATCTCTCTCCAGCCGTCGTGGTCTTCTCAGGCGGCCAGCCGTCGTGGTCTTCTCGTCGCCGCCTGTCATCTCACCGCGTCCAGCACATTTTTTTTTTTTTTTTATAATTATTGTACGTTTGGCTCTGATGCCATATATAGAAAGATGTTTGGAAGAGAAAATTGTCCTGCCCTATTCATTAAGTCACAACCTATGTATATACATGAGCAAGAAAGAAATCCTAAACACCTATAACTCCTACCATAACTAGAAGATTCCTTTATAAATTAACTACCTAATATACGTATAATATAATCTTACGTATCTACACAATTTCGTATCTAAACCAATGTTTTTAGAACCGGACCGAACCGGCCGGTTGGACCGGTTCGATCGTGACCCGGCCTCGAAGCGGTCCGGTCTGACCACTAAACCCGGAAAAAATGAAAACCGGGGTCAAATGACCAAAATCCGGTTCGACCAGGTAAAACCCAAGAACCGACGAGTCAGTAAAAAAACCCGGTTTTCGGCCAAAACATCTCAAATCACCACTAAGTTGGTTATTTATGACTAGATTTGAGCGAACCTTCACGGACATAGTGATGGGTGGCCGGATCTAGTCATGAGTGGTCGAAAAATTGCCGGATTCGGTCATGGGTGATCGAATAGAGGTGGTCAATTGCCGCATTAGAAGAATAAAGAATGGAAAAATATAGAGTATAAGCAAAAGAAATATAGTAAAAAGTGGTGTGAGATTGATAAAATTGAAAATAATAGGTGGAAGATTAAAAATGTAAAGAAAATAATATTTTTAAAATATTAAAATTAATATAATAATGACATATTAAAAAAAATCAAAAACCCGGTTAAACCGGTTCGACCCTATAAAACCATGACCCAAATGGTCGTCCGGTTCCATAGCCGGTTCGGTTCTGATAACATTGATCTAAACTATATCTCAATAATGAGTTCATAATTTTAGCACGCATAATCGATGAGTACCAAAGGATTATGAGATCCTATATACATCATGTGAAATATACCATGTGGTTTTAAATTGTAAATTTATATAAATAATTACTCATTAAGCATATATACACATTGTTACTTGTGTTATTATATATAAATTAATAGTATAAAGCTATTCGACGTACCTGATTGTATCTAATCAGGTGTAAGTTCGACAAAATCAGTGACAAAATCAGTGTGAAACAGTCCCCAATTATAAATTCCATAGACCTACATTATAAGCACACATACACATAATTGCATGTGTTGTTATATATAAATCAATAATATAAAAAGTTAATCGACTTATTTTATCAGGCGTAAATTCTACAAAATCAGCATGGAACAGACCCGAATCACAAGTTCCATAAGCCCACATTAATAATTGCAATTCGATCAATTAAATAAACTTTTGAATTGTTGTGCATTTACTAAAATCACATTTGAATAAAAAAAATATTAATAAAAAATATTAAATAAAATAAAAATATTTGAGTTTGTATGCAGCGCTTCCGAACTCAAAACATGTGTCACCCCCAATAAATCCACATGTCCAAATCTGGCACTCTTTAAGTACTACAGTCTTTTGACTGCCACACACTACCACCACCACCACCACCACCACTCACAGCAACCACCGACTAGCCACCGTCCATGGCGGAGCAACACCACAACCAGCTGCATCACCCCACCGACGAAGTCAGCTTCCACGACAAGGGTCCCTCCACCTCCCAAGTACTCGCCGTCGTCGCTCTATTCCCCGTCGGAGGTACCCTCCTCTTCCTAGCCGGTCTCGTTCTCACCGGAACTGTCGTCGGACTTGCCGTCGCCGCCCCACTCTTCCTAATCTTCAGCCCGATCTTAGTCCCCGCCGCCCTCACCTTGGCCTTATCCGTCGCCGGATTCATAACTTCCGGAGCTTTCGGTATCACTGCGCTGTCTTCTGTTGCCTGGCTGCTCAACTATGTGAGGAGAATGAGATGGAGCTCGCCGGAGCATTTCGAGCACACAAGGCGGCGCGTGTAAGACACGGCAGATCATATGGGCCTGAAGACGAGTGAGATTGGCCAAGCAGCCCAAGTAACCTTAAGTTAATATGGGCCTGGGTTCATGTTGTTTCGTGTAATTTTTCTTTTTTTTTTTTTTTTTTTTATGTAATTTTAGATTTTTAATAAAGTTAAATAAATAAAGGGTTTATTAAGGATAATCCCCTGTTCATATTTTTTAATGATAGATCCAATTTTTTTTCCCCTTTTTGAGATAGACCTAATTTCGCCAACTTGGCAAAATATATTATATAATTTTCCTTTAATACCCCTGTTTTATTTTTAAACGGCATTTATTTCCTTTACTACGTGATTTGAGATTTGCTGATACGTTGCCTAAAATCACGGGATAAAATTACGTGAGATCATTGGCCGTTATATCAAATCGTGTACAATATTTTTCGAAGGTTCTCTTCAGCGTTCCGGCGGTTTTTTATCGTCTTTGAAGATTTCTGCACCGTCGTTGAAATATGATCGAATTTGAGCGTTCATTGTTGGACATTGTTAACCGGTTATGAATGCGTTATTCGTTTTTATTTTTCGCTCAATGTCTAGGATTGTCGATTACGGTGGTTAGAAATTTTTAAGAGTTGTGTTGATACTTGATTCTATTAAGTAGAACGTTTTTTAACGAAATTATTCCGTCATATATACATCGTTATTTTTTGCGGATGATGTTTGTTTGGAAGAGGATTGACAGAGTTAGATGAGGATGGTTCACGCATATCGGACCAGAGTTGTTTTATATGAACATCGTAGTTGGTTTACGCATTAATTGAAATAACTGTCCGCTGTCGTGGAGTTCATGAGTCTGATCCCGGTCGATAGTTGGTTTATTTGTTTATAACAGCGGATTTTAGGACGCTGGGTAGTACATTAAAATATATTTCGTAGTATTTTTTAAGTTATCGTATGAATTTTGCATTTTAAGTTTTTTGATCATATTAATATATTTTTTAGTATTTTGCATTTTTAATGTCGTATCATATTAATATATACATCGTTATTTTTGGCGGATGATGTTTGTTTGGAAGAGGATTGACAGAGTTAGAAGAGGATGGTTCACGCAGATCGGACCAGAGTTGTTTTATATGAGCTTCGTAGTTGGTTTATGCAATAATCGGAATAATTGTCCGTTGTGGTCGAGTTCATGTTTTTTATCCCGATCGATAGTTGGTTTATTTGTTTATAACAGCCGATTTAAGTGTGCTGGGTAGTACATTAAAATATAGTTCGTAGTCTTTTTTAAATTAGCGTATGGATTTTGCATTTTAAGTTTATTTTTGATGATATTAATGTATTGTCATTCAAATGTATTTGCAGTCTATTTAATCATTTTTTAGTATTCTGCATTTTTAATTTTGTTTCATGATTTTAGGTTTTTTCGATGGCGAATTTCGTACGGGTTTTGTTGAGGTTTGGTGGGTTGGTTGCTATAAAGAGGTGTTTACGATGTAATGGCTCGGTAACTTCGGTTAAATTTTAAACCGTTGTAATACAGTAGTATACTACTATGAATACCGTATGATACTACCATTATCATTTTATTATACTATTATGAGATTATTAATGTACTAGAGTTTTAACTCGACATATTGGTTTGATTGTGTTATGATGTGTTTTATGTATTTTATCAAAACCCTAGATTGAAATTATGAGATTATTAATGTACTATTTTATTGGTTATGTTGGAATACTTTACGTTGGTGTTGTTCTCAATGTTCTTGTCATTTCAGTGGTATATTGTTTGTAACACAATTCATATCACTACTATAACCGTAATATACTATCATAGCAGATCAATGTACTATATTGAAATTATTAATATACGATGTGGTTGAATAATACGGGATCCATAGTCGATTAACGAGATCCGTAGTCAAATTAGATCAATAAGATAGTCTATTACATGATATAAGGAAAATTACCCTAATTGATTAGTATTTCAAACAAACATATTATTCAGTTTCCATATATATTATTATTTTTTCATATATATTATTATTTACCTTAATCGTTTTCATATAATAAGGAAAATTACCCTAATTGATTAGTATTTCAAACAAACATATTATTCAGTTTCCATATATATTATTATTTTTCCAATAGTCAATTAACTAAACCCATAGTCGAATTAGATACATGGGATAGTCTATTAAAAGATATGAGATAGTCTATTAATTTTAAAACACAAATCCGCCGCCGTCACTTCTCAAATCTAGTGTTTTGATGATTCTTCGGCCCATAGTCGATTAACGAGATCCATAGTAAAATTATACCAGTGGGATAGTCTATTAAATGATATGGGATAGTATATTAATACATATGTAATTCGACTATGCATCTCGTTAATCAACTATGGGCCGAAGAATTATCAAAACCCTAGATTTGAGTAATCCTAGATTTGAGTAACCCTAGATTGGAGCAGTGACGGCGACGGCGACGGCGGCGACCAACGACGATATCACTTCTGGTGGATGTCTTGCTCATCAATTGTTGCAATATCACTGATTTAGTGCTCGAATTCGGTATGCGATTATAACAGATCTGCAATTACACAAACGTGATAGTCGATTTAGCCAAAACATATCAACAAATCGATGGATGATAGCGATCAACGAGTGGCGACGACGTACCTACGACAGCTTGCTCGGAGTGCACGAAAATCGTCGTTTCACGGCAGTGCAGACGTCTTCCCCTTTCAATCGGCCGTACCGGGAAGTTGTTCTGGGAGGTTTTGCAGTTTATTCGATAGTGGGTTTGGGATGATAGTGATTTAACGGGAAAATAGGAAGGGATTTGATTTCATTTCAAAAGGTAAAGTAACGGGTTTTGTGGGATTTGATTGAGGGTAATTATGTAATTAGGAAAAGTTTGGGCTGTTATCAAAATGGCAAATGTAAATTTGGGTCTACCCCTATTATTTGAATGTTTAAGGGGGTTATATCTAATAGACCCATAAATAAATCTCAGGTTTAAATGTTGGGTTATTTAATAGTTAATAATAACTTAAAAAGGCAAATCGAGCTTATCATGGATTATTTAATTAATTATATAATTCCCAGGGTTAAGTGGGATCCTTCGACACTACACTCGGCGAATAACGCCGGTGAGTTGTCTGCTGCCACGTGTCATTTTTTGTATTTTTCTAAAATGGTTAACCCAAGTGGCGCAACATATTATAAAATATGAAAAAAATCTACGTGACAACAGAAGCCCACCTGATTTTTATTACCGGTGTAGGGTCGAAGAAGTCGGGTTAAGTGATGTTTAAGACTTAATAACTTCTTAAAAGTTCGAAAAATAAGTTGATGGAGAATTTCTATGAATTATAATAAGTAATATTCGTCATGAATTCTAGATAAATATGTTCATTAATAACAAATAATAATATGTATCTAATGATTCATGTACTAGTTAATTCATGTATCCTAGCATACATTGTATAATTGTATATGTATATATTGTACATGTTAAAAGAGTGTTAAATGTATCTCGCGCGACACTTTGAAACGGATCGAATACTCAGTATTATGTTTAACGGATCGAATATTCGCATGCGATAGCTAGTTAACGGATCGAAGATAGATGTAACATTTGTAGTTCTTGAAGATTTTCAACAGATTTCAGATCGATTCATCTACCTAATTCGTCGTAATATAAACAAATGATAAGAAAAACGAGAAATAAGATGTTACACCTGGTTATTTACTGAATGAATTTCAGCCATAGATTTACACATAATCGTACACACCCATGTGTATGTGTACAGGTAGTCATTTAATTAAATAGTTCAAATCCATATAAATAACCAGATGTAGCATCTAACTTCCCGAAAAACAGTGACGAAAGCATAATTTCTGGAAATATTTACTATTTATAGCACTTAACTAGATATCATGCATAACACCATTATTAACAAACATTGTTTACATAAAAGCCCTTCTGCCTAAAACCATCATCACAAAGACCAAAACATTAAAAAAAAAAAAAAAAAAAAAAGAAAAGAAAAGAAAGAAATTTTGAAGTCTATGAAGAAGTAATACTCGATAATCTATCGGTAAACTGATCAAATACTTCGTCGCGTGGCAAAATACTGATCCGAACATATTTCGAGCTCTCGCCAAAGTGCTTCCCACTTCTCGTCAATATCTTGTGCTCCCGAAGAAATCCCTCACAATCCTCCGTTTCGCCTTCACACTTGAGCCAAGCAAAAGCTACGTGCGTACAATACACATAAAATTTAGTATCAAAAAGTTATTTCGAACTAGAAGAAAATTTAATCAAACGAGTGGCGAAAACGCTAAAGTCACCTGGCTGTGATGCAAATGTACGACCACTAAAGGCGCATTTGCCATGCGGGAATTCGGGCAGACTAAAGAGCGGGTTCTTTTTCACTGCGTCCCTAAGCTGTTGCCACCTCATCGCCATGAGATTGTAGCTGTGGTCGAAGAAGGGTTCACTTTCCTTAAAGTTACGTTCGTTTTCGTGTGTATCGGACATGACTTGTAATATTTTTGCTGCTCTTAGTTGCGATTCTTTGGACACGCCTATTGTGCTTAGCACGATGAATTCTGTCATTTTCTTTGCGATTTCTCGATCCTTAACCAAAGCCCAACTGTAACAAAATGAACCCAACTCAAAAAATAGTAAAATATAAAATAAAAATATTATAGTTGCTACATCATGCCATAATGTTATGGTATTGTCTAAATTTGTGTGCAATTTCTAGTTTCATGTTCGTTTTTATTAGGGATGGAAATCGGACAGTTCTAATCAGAATTAGCACTTGCGGAAATAAAAAGTCCAATTTTTTTTCGTCAAAAACTAATTACAATTCCGTTCCATAGAAGTTCAAAAAAAATCGGACCGAGAACCTTGTTTGAAAAACGGAAATTTTCGGACTGCAATCAGCGGAAATCGGAAAATTCTAATATTTAGTAACCTAACTGTAAAATACATGATAATTTTGATATTATAAGATAATATTTGGGAAGAAAAACATCAAAAAATTTGGAACTATATTCGGAAATTAAAATCAGATTGAAATTCGGAATCCCGCATATATTCCAATTCCAATTTTTAAAAAAAATGGAAAAGCTCAGAAATTTTGTTCTAAAATCAGAATATTTCAATTTACGAGGGCCAAATATACGCTAAAAATTCTCTTTGGGGCCAAAATATACTATACTCATCTAAAAATAACAAGGGGGGCCAAGGCCTCCATGGCCTACACTATAACAAAAATATAACTCCAAGATTTATTTCAAAAAAAATATATATATAGCTATATATATAAATAGTACGAAGATGTAATAGGTTTTACGTACCCTAATCGCGTGCCAGCATGGCCCGTACTCTTGGAAACCGTAAACAACATAATATCATGATCCGCAGGAGGAGAAGAAATCGGAGTATATTGCGGCCAATAATAAGCCAAGTCATGTATTAATATCCCTTGATCTCGATTAACAACCGCTTCTCTTGATAATCCATCGGGATTGTTCGGAGATGTCACTAATTCGATATAAGGCTTATCTTTCTTGAATTTACGAGCATCTCCCGCCCATTTATAGAGCCCGGATTTCAGAAATTCGGTTATCAATGGGTACGACTGCAAACATAAAATTTCATACACTAATTATTAACGACAACAATTAAAATAATGACGAAGATCTTTGAAGATATCTTCGTTATTCTTGAATTTAAATGAAAGATAAGATGGGAAGATCTTTAATATTTCGCCAACTCATAGCAATTAATGATCATTTACACCATGTGTGGGTGTGTGTGTGTGTGTGTATAATTATATATATCTTGGAGCATACTTAACTCTATTATCTATGCATGTGCATTGTGTGCCGTAAACTCTATTATTAACTTGAAAAAGGATTAATCTCATAACAAATAATTGCTATATATAATTATCGTCTTTGATTTAAAACCAATACGGTCGATAACTAAGCCAATTTCAACTCGTTTTTTTTTTTTTGTTAGTTAAAAAAAAATTACCGAGTAAAACGGAGCAGCAGAAACTACGCTGATTGGTTCAGAAGCATTAGTCGGCGAAACGGCATAAAGGACAGCCTGGAATAGCTGCGTGGACCCCGTTCCGACGACCATATAACGGTCTTCAGTAACCGCATTTCCCACCAATTTATGCAACCGAGTAACTGCACTCGCAAATTCCGGCTCCAAAAACCAGCAAAGATTATTCACATCCGAAAAATAACTAATGAATTTCCACCCCGGAATCACAACCGTCGTTTTTTCCCCCATTTGTTGCCAATACCTCTCGTACATCGTCGGATCGCCACTATAAAAAAACATTAAAAAAAAATTGAAATGGTGCAAAACATCACCATAACCTTAAAGGATGGTCCTAAAACCGTAAGGACAAAGTGGTCCTTACGCCACTCAATTTTAGGTTTGAATATTGGGTGGGGAGTTAGGTATGGGGAAGGACGACGAACGAAAAAAAATAAAAAAATAAAATAAAATTGTGGGTCATCGTATAATCAAATGATTGGATAAATGACAAGTAAATATCAGGTCCACATTTCATTCCTCAACATTAATAGACAAATGGCCTATAAATGGCTCCAAGAATTCATAACGCATTAAAATTTAGACCCCTTTTTCCACATATTCGTGTATCGAAAAAATTAAATAAAAAAATAAAATAAAAAGTGGGCCTAATTAAATTTTTCTCGTAGATCTTATCGAAGGACGAAAGTGGTGTTCACAACAATAGCAAATGCAGCAACAAAAGAAAAATGACCCACTAAAGATGCATCTTTTAAGCTTAATTAGTAGAGTCGTAATGTAAAGTAAGTTACTTTAGGCAACCATCTTTGCTATCTACTTTCGATTCGATCGGCATTCTTCGAGAAATATATATATTATACTACAAAAATGAGAATCCACTAACATATATGAAAGACCACAAAAATAAAACAAAAAAGGTCGGATTTCGAAATAAATTCAAAGCATCACGAAACACTAAATATCGACTACTTAACTCGAGACGGATCATAGATGAAGGAATTTTTGAGTAGTTTTAGGGGGGGGTAAAAAATTAAAAAAAAAAAATATTGGTTCTCTTTATATTTATATATATAATACACACACACACACACACATATAACAAAAGAAAGAATGAAGAGAGTGGTCAACGAGGGAATCAAGAAAGACAACCATCCTTTGTGGCCTCATATCATGCACGCCACTGTCTTTAATTACCAGTAAAAAAAAACACATTTACTTTGGGAACAACACACACACACACACACACACACACACACACACACATAGTTAGAGAGAGAGAGAGAGTATTCAAAAATGGAGAATGGGGAATTCCAAAGCGAGAGCAGGAGTTGTCACTGTCTGTAAAAACTGACATAACGTGAACCCTCAAGCGCACGTTAGGGAATCGCACCACTATTCCCACACCCCACTAATTCAACTCATTTAATTAACACTCCAAAATTAAAATTTAAAAAAAAAAAAAAAAAAGAAAAAAAAAAAAAGAACCCCTCCTTCCTCCAACTTCTTCTTTTATTTATTTTTTAATTTAATTTAATTTAAGTATATGTAAAAGGGATATTAACAAGACACTAATGATGGTAAAATCTAATCTAAACCATCATTAAAATTTACCCCAACACCATTTTTAATATTACAAAAAAATATATATAAAGTTCGAATCTTTTTTTAATGATAGCTATATTTAGTGAAGTTTGAGCAAAACCATCATTACAATTTACCCCAACACCATTTTTAATATTACAAAAAAATATAAAGTTCGAATCTTTTTTAATGATAGCCATGATTAATGAAGCTTGAGCAAAAACCCAGAAAAAAAAATTATAAAAAAAAAAACTTACTGATCAAGATCGATAATTTCAGCAGGAAGAGCTTTTGAAGAATCAAGAAAAGCACTTTTGGAAAGATGGGCATCTCTATTTGTGGCTAAAGATGAGTTCTTGCACTCATTCTTGAAGAATAAAACATCCTTAAACCTGTGTTTGCCGCCATTGCAGTAGTCTCTGTACAACAAACCAGCGTTCAACGCTAAAGAAACCACCAAAAAATGCCCCAAAATCACTGTCCTAAGCTCCATTACTGAGTTTACCAGGTTTCTTTTCTTCTTACCTTTTGCAAAATCTCTGCCAAGAAAAAAAAAAAGATATTTAAGAGAGAACAAAACATTAGGGAAAAGAAACCCAAGAGCCCTAACTGGTAATACATATGCTTATATATATATATATATATATTAGAATAAACAAACAAAAAGATTTGATTTTTCAGATGTAATAAATTGAAATGTGTAAATTTACAGTTTTGCCACTATACATAAATACATAGCACAATACTAGTTGTTGTTCATGCATTTGATATATATATATGAATAAGTTTACCTGTAATAATCTGAAAAGTTAATCCCACTTCTGTGAAAGCTGATACACAGAGAGAGAGAGAGAGAGAGAGAGAGAGAGAGAGAGAGAGGGAGAGAGAATCTGTAGAAAAGATTCTATCTTATGATCACATTTGCAGTTTCTGAAAGATTTTAAGAGAGAGAGAGAGTGAGAGAGATGGTCAAGATGGTAAACACTACAAAGTGATTTATTTATATATTGTATTTGATAAGTTATAAAGATGAAAGAAACGCAGCGCAGAAATTGCAGTTTGGGCCACAGTGAAAAAACAAAGGGTTAATTTAATTCAACTTGCATCTAATTCTACTTCCGAGCAACGCACTGATCGAAGTCCGATGGTTCGGCCCGATTATATTTGAGTTGAGATTATTTTTTAGTGAGACGGAAAGCGTTTAAGCCATTTTGTTATACTCGATTCTTGAATGTTATAGGGTTTTTTTCTTGGAACACGTTCGTATACAAAGTTGTAAAGTACATAATTTATATATTGTTCGATATAAGTCTGATATAAATTCAAAGCCCGAAAAGAGACACGAGCCGAGTTTCAGCTTATATAGTAACTACGTTCGATGATATATGAGTTTGAGTCAACGCAAGTTCAGCTCGTATACGCTGATTGCTAACCCTGTACATATCCTAAGAAAATAAGAAAGAATACATAATAATTAATTCGAGATATTTAAAATTCTAGATGGCATAATAAATAAGTGAATCATATATTAATTAAAAAGAGTAGGGAAATGAATAATTAATCGAAAAATAATAATTTGTGTGCGTGTGGAAAAGGGAAAAGTGGGTGGCTTTTCCATATGGGATGGCAAAAGGGAAAATAAAAGAAAAGCTGCAATTTATTTATAAAAAAATAATATATATATATATATATATATATATATATATATATATATATATATATATATATATATATATATATATATATATATATATTAGTATTTAGTACCACCTAAATACCTGTCTCTGCCTTTTCTTTTAAATAAAAATCTTTCACTTTGGATCTTTTGTACTTTGCTTTTATTTTTAAATCATTTTTTATATATTGATTAATCTTTTTAGATAAACTCTAACATTTTTATTAGTCCCGATTATTCTCGATTGTATCGATTTACCTTCCTTCACTTCGAAAATTAATCCAGTTGACATCATTTGATCCAAGTCTAAAAATTACAAAAACGCCATCCAAATTTTGAGGATGAACATTTTTTTTTATTGATTCATTCATAATGTATACTTAGGTGCTTATTTTATTTGTTAATTTATTTATTTATCAAGACTTTTCAATAGAGTTCCACGTACAGCCATCCCAATTCAATTAAATGGATCTATAATTAATTGTAGGGTCTTTCTAATAGCTCAGTACCTAATGCCTAAATCTCAATTGTAGGTAATTAATTTGTTATAATTATTTTTAGGAATTTTTTTTTCTAATCCTAATTTGAGAATCATAGGGGTCTTTGATCTGTATACTTCATTCCCCACTACTTATATTAATATAGAGAATTGACATTTGAGTCTTGTCAATTATTATAATGCAGTGGTGGAGCCATCTTTTGATTTGTGGGGGCTAAATGTACATTCAAGACTTGTTCGATTACTATCAGTTAGTAAATTATGTTAACCGAACACTATAGAGTAGTAAGATGTTCGATTGAATTCTATTTAACTGAATAATATAGGTAGTAAGATGTTCGATTAATATTGAAGTCATGTCAATTGTTATAATGCAGTGGTGCAGCCATAATTTGATTTGTGGGGGCTAAATGTACATTCAAGTCGTGTTCGATTACTATCAGTAAATTATGTTAACCGAAAAGTATAGAGTAGTAAGATGTTCGATTGAATTCTATTTAACTTAATAATATAGGTAGTAAGGTTCGACTAATACTGAAGTCATGTCAATTGTTGTAATGCAGTGGTGAAGCCATCATTTGATTTGTGGGGGCTAAATGCACGTTTGTTTGATTGAAATTGAAAGTCGTGTCAATTATTATATTAATGCAGTGGTGGAGCCATCATTTGATTTATGGAGGCCAAATGTACGTTCAAGTTTTGTTCGATTACTGTCAGTAAATTATGTTAATTGAACAGTATAGAATAATAAGATGTCCGGCTGAATTATGTAAACTGGATAGTATAGAGTAATAAGATGTTCGATTAATACTGAAGTCATGTCAATTATTGTAATACAGTGGTGAAGCCATCGTTTGATTTGTGGGATCCAAGTATACGTTAAAGTCTTGTTCGATTACTATTAGTAAATTATATTTCCTGAATAGTATAGGATAGTAAGATATTCGATTGGCTAAATTTAAAATGACTCATGTCTCAGAAATAAACTTAAAAGTGTATAATGATACTATATGCTTAAGGAAATTATGAGAAATCACAATTAAAATTAGTTAAATTACAATGAGTGTAATTCAATCACTAAATATTATATTTTGTAGTATTCTCATTTAATGAGAAATAAATAATTAAAAATATTAATTTACAAGACAGAAGAAAAAATTGACAAAAGATAAAATGATGTTGATGATACTGAACTCTCAACTTTCCAAAATCTGAAATAGGGTCCAGAATATCAGATTTAATTAGGTAACAATTGGAATTTTAGCCAATTCTTTTAAAGAGGGACCATATCTTTTTCACTTCTTGCTGTGAGAGTTCAGTCATCATAATCCTAAATAAATTGAAGGGTAAATTACAATTACTTTCTGAGCTACGGATCTTCTCATACGTACATTTTTGCGGTGTCAAATTTAGTGGAATCTTCTAGATTATGTGCAATATTCTCTGGTTTGTACCCGTTTTTTTTCCCATTTGAGCTCCACATTTTGAAAAAAGATGATCATAAAATGTGTCTCTTGCCTTGTAAATATCAGATTGTGGTGCATCAGAAACTGCATTTATGGACAAAACGAGTACAAACAAAAGAACATTACACGGAATCTAGAAGATTCTGTTGAATTTGACTCCATAAGAATGGACGTGTAAGAAGACTCATAGTTGACGGGTGGTTGTAATTACCAAACAGAAGGGATTTTTTCGTAATTTGACTTGTGTACGTAATTTACCTTAAATTTAAATTTCCCCAACCAAAAAAAAAAAGAAAAAAAAAATTTCTGATTTCTACTACTATCTATAAAATCGAACAACTTATGAAGGGATTTTAATTATATAAAAAAATAATTGCATCATTTATTACAAGCAATCGCCCCTAAATCAAATAAGTGGTCCATTTTGGCTGCACCCATTGATTTTGCTAGCAGCCTATATTCAAGAAATTGGACCGTGCCCAAGTTGCCAATTTCAATTCTCACTTAATTATAGATTTTATTCACATTGAAGTTGGCTTCTATCAATCACTATTTGACAGGTCCCCCTACTATGGGAAATTCTTAATTCGTGTGTACATTATACATATTTAATTATTGTAACAATTTCTATTTACTTGACACACCAAAAAAAAAAAAAAATTGAAATCCCTACATCATTTATAATAGACAAGATTAGGTATACATTAGTTAGGTATTAATTTATTATTATTCTTGATTCCATTGTATGGAAGAAAGAATTTTAGAACACATATCACTTTAAAATAGTAGGCGTGCACAAAGAGTACTTCCATATATATAGGAAAAAATACTTTTAAAGCTCTAATTAGGCGTGATCTACGTAACACGGACACAGAAACGTCAATACGGGAAAACGGGCGTAGAGAAAATGTATGTCCCAAAAATGGGGACACAGTAATTTGATGTAAGCATGCAAATATTAAAAATATAGAGATATATTTGTAAATATGCTATATAAACATATATTTTTTTTATTTATATATAAATTCTTTTTATATATAATTGTTTTTATATATTTTTGTACAATTATATTCAAAATAAATATTATTATCAATTATTAATTTGCAATTCTTCATTAGATTATGTAAATAATTAGAAAAGCAACAAAAATATTTGGAAATTCGCTATTCAGACATTTTTCGAACTTTTCAGAAATTGCAAAATAGCACATAAAGTGTCAGTCAGATGTCCTCGAATGCCGGACACGGAACATGTCCGAAGCGGATGCGTTAAAAAGTTGACGTTTACGTACTACATAGGCTGCGATTATTACATTTCACAATGCATGTCAAACAAAAAATGTATTAAACAAAAATCTTGACAATTTACTCTACTAAAATCAAAATTCTCATAATCGATAACTAAAACGGGTAGTGTACATAACTCTCTAACGACATTTTGTGGTGCAGTTAGTGGCCTCACGAGTAGTCAATGGTCAGAACGACAAATAAATCGTGTGAATAATTAACTTATTAAACAAAAAAAAAAAAAAATACGATACAAATTACGATAATTTCTAAATATGTAAAAAAAATATGGGGGAAATATTAAGCTATTAAATTTCCACATAATTAGAAAAGTCCAGAAACATTGGGATAAAATGTAGACCCAATTAATTGGGCTTTTTACTGTTCAAGTTACGGCCCAATAAGTAAAACCCAAACGGCAAATGGGTCACTACCAAGATCCGTATACCCGTACCCGTTTTTCACTTTTGAGAACTAATTGAGACCGTTGGATTCTATTGCAACCGACGCTGTCGATTTAATTGACAACAGCCTGCACTGTTATCTGCAATAGTGCATGCATACCATCCAGGTAATCATATTAAAATTAGGGTAAATTACAACCGCACATGAGGTATGGTCAAATTACGAAAACCCCCCTCTTGTTTGGATAATTACAACCATCCCTTCAGCTCCTCAAATTTAGTGGAATCTTCGAGATTATATGGAATATTATCACTTTGTACCCGTTTTATCCCATTCGAAATCTACATTTTGAAGCATGATGATCATAATACGTGTTTTTTGGCTTCTATATATCAGATTGTGGTGCATCAGAAACTATATTTTCACACAAAACGAGTACAAACTAGAGCACATTCCACGAAATCTAGATGATTATGTTGAATTTGATACCATAAGGGTGGAGGTGTAAGAAAAAATCATAGTTGAGGGGTAGATGTAATTATCCAAACAAGAGGTTTTTTTTGTAAATTGACCATACCTCAGGGGTGTTTGTAATTTACCCTTAAAATTAAATGCAATAATTGTTTATCTATTTTTTTTAATAGATAATTCGGTCATTATCACTACAATTTATTCCAGGCCAATCATTTATTCATAATATAAAATTAAGCTAGATATAAAAAGAAGTTAATGCTAGGGCAACTCT